GGAGAACGTCTGGGGACGATTGTTTGACTATGTTTGAGCATGTTGGGCGTATTTAGTGATGATTTGTTCGTCCCAAATCCGCATGTAGGGGGACGTGCATGACCTAATGTTAGACCTTTTGTCCCCCTGACGCTGAGAAGTTGATGTTTGTTCCTCGGATGAAGCTGCCAGAAGGCCAGAGGAAGCTGGCGGAATGAAAGCGGGGGCGGCTTCGCCAGCGGAAGCTAGGCGAAAGGTGGCGGAAGCAAACCAGCCCCACCAAGAGATGTCAACGTCTGTTGTTCAAGGGGTTTCCGAGGTCGGCCATGTGACGCAGGACGCCGCGTGCCCCGTTCAAGCCGTGGACGGAATTGCAGCTAGTCGTGCGTTTCCATGTGGGGGTGCCCAGGCGCCCCGAAAGGGACCGATGGACACGATACCTGAACTTGTTGGTCTGCGTAGGGGGTCCTTGCAGGCTCGTCTCAGCGGTCCCTGCCGGCGCGCGAAATCAGCGGCTTTGCGCGAGTGAGTCAGCCCCACGGGCCCCGCAAATCTGCGCACCACAGGTCACACTTGCCTAGAGGCACCTTTGCGTGCAGCCGAGCTTAGATTTCCTGTGAACCCTCCGTGGTCCGAGACCCTGGGCAAGAGGGTGGACCGATCATCCAGCCCTCGAAGTTCGCCCGTCGGGCTTGGCTTCTGATGCGTTCTCTTGGCCCCGCTGAGCTCAGGGGCGACGTCAGTGGGGGATAGGCTCAGGGTGGGATGCGTCGACCACCAATCGACCACGGATTGCCGCTAGTCGGGGCCTCGATGGCCAAGCACCCGAACAAGACGACCAAGACACCTGCCAACATGACGCCAACCGACACCGGCGCCGGATCCGACTCCAGCAGGGAAGCTCGCCAGTGCTGTCGGGCCTCTGCCTTCCCCAGCACGCGTGCGCACAGAGAGGTGACGACCTCCCCGCTCCGGCCCAAGGAGGCAGGGACCACGCCCTGACGAGGGTGCGAGTGCGAATGCGAAGGCGAGGGGCCCCGACGGCCCACCCCGCCCAGGGCCGTGTGGCTCTGCTGCCAGGGGCCCCTGGCCGGTCCTGTCGCCGAGGTGTCGCCGGCTCCAGGCCGATGCTTCCCCCCCGCCCCCCCAGAAGAGAGCCAGCCCGCCCCTCCCTCGCTGCCCCTCGGGAGGTTTTGACTGCGCTTTTGCCTCTTTACTGCCCTCCTCGGAGCCTTCCATTTGGGGGGCCACAGGGACCTCAGGATTAAGTCGGGCCTGTCCCTCTACAGGGGCAGCATTCAAAAATTGTTAAAAAATAGTATGGGGACGATTCTTGACATATTTTTGAGCATGTTGGAGCATTTTTTGTCTATTTCTAATTTTTCGGCCAGAATCCCCCTTTAGGGGGACATGCCTGACTTAACCGTCGTTGCCCCTCGTGAGGTTTTGATTGCGTTTTTGCCTCTTTACTGCCCTACTCGGAGCCTTCCATTTGGGGGGCCACAGGGACCTTAGGATCAATTCGGGCCTGCCTCTCTACAGGGGCAACTTTCAATAATAGCCAAAAAGCAGTATGGGGACGATTTTTGAGTATTTCTTTGCATGTTGGGGCATTTTTTTTTATGTGTGTGTGTGACTACTTTAGATTTTTCGTCCAGAATCCCCCTGTAAGGGACATGCCTGACCTAACCCTCGTTGCCCCTCGTGAGGTTTTGGTTGTGTTGTTGACTCTTTTCTGCCCTCCTCGGAGCCTTCCATTTGGGGTGCCACAGTGACCTTCTTGCAGGCCTAGAGGTTGACACCAACACCAATATCGGCGGTGTGCTTCCATCGAGGGAAGAAGATCCCGATCTCGGTAATATGGTACTATTCTGGCTTCCAGGGTGACCGAAGTATATAGCCACCAACACCGAAATCGAGGGTCATCTTCCCCCTGTGGAGGCAACCCCCTGTGTTGGTGTTGGTGCCAGTTCCAGGCCTCCGACCTTAGGAAGAATGCCCTCCTCGGAGCCTTCCATTTGGGGTGCCAGAGTGACCTTAGGAAGAATGCCCACCTAACTCATGACCTGGACTGGATTTCCTCAAGGTCTTCGTGGTGCTCATGCTGGCCACGCCCGCTCAGAGTTGATTGCATCGTTGATGGCAACAAAAAGTCCGACCCTCTCGCATACGGGGGGCCGAGGGTTGGATCGAGCGGCAACATGCGGCCTGCGCCCCGCAGGCGAGAAGCTCGTGGCCATCATCACGGAGGCTCGCTGCTCTCTCCTGGCCGCTCTCTCTCGCTATACCTCCCTACTCCCCTCACCCCCTCCCTCCCTCTCCCTTCCTTCCTCCCTCCCTCCCATTCCCTCGCTCTGTCTCTTTCTCCCTCTCCACCAGCATTAACACTTGTTATCACCATCATCATCATCATCATCATCAGCAGCAGCATCATCATCATCGTCATCATCATCATCATCATCACCATCATCATCATCTTCAGCATCATCATCATCATCATCATCATCATCACCATCATCATCATCATCAACATCAGCATCACCATCGTCAGCGTCATCATCATCATCGTCATCATCATCATCATCATCATCATCATCACTACCATCATCACCAGCACACTCATCATGATCATGGGGGTGCGTGCGCAGTAATGACTCAGTGGAACATCGGGCGTCGGTATCTTAGGTCCTCATGGTGTCACTCTGCAGTCATCCTCGCTCTAAGGTTTCACGTCGTCGGTTTCAGGCATTCTCATCGACGCTGAGAGACTCTTCGCCACCGCCATACTGGACCGCAGGAGGCCGCGGTTCAGATTGTGACGAGACGACCGACCTTGTGCCACCGCCTGCTCCTTCGAGGATCGAGCTCAGTTGTCCTGACAGTCGCGTGCATCCTGGAGTGGTCGAAAACATTGCTCGGAGGTCAAACAACGAAGCATGCTTCTGCCAGTTGGATTGCCAGTGCGAGGACAGAGACTCCTACATCATTTGCCACACCGCTTCGGTGATCGTGGTCGGCCAGACCTTCGTCCTGCTAGTGTGGTGGTGCTCGTGCCATCGACCCAGCAGCAATGTCCCTCGTCGCTCTCCGTCCAGTTCGCCTCGAGGCGGCAGGCGGTCATCTCTCGGTGCAGGAGTTATCGAATAGTCTCCAGCCAGGGAGGACTGTCGCCATCAAGTATTCCCGGCGAGGACCTGTGGCATGACAGAGTTGTCATGACCCTGGGTTGAGGAATCGTGATGGGAATCTCGTGTCTTGGTGGGTGCTCACTCCCGATGGGGATTTTATGACGAGGATATCAGCATGGAGGCCGACGAGGGTGCGAGTCTGATCGTCCTTGACTACGTGGGCAACTGCCTTCCTCAGCTGCGTGGTAAGCTCTACATGCTCGTCGGTGGCGCCTGCCCCTCGGACGATCGGATTCGCCGCGAGGCCCAGGCTGCTGGTCTGTAGCAATAGTGCGCCTGCGGCTGGCTTCAGGGGGCCGAACGGTCATTCACTGTCCCTGGGTGCGTGGCTGAAAGGAGATTCCGCGATGCGGCTTCTTCTTCTTGTTGTTTTTCCCAACCATCCTGTGGTGTTGGGTCCTCGTTTTGAAGAGAGAGCGCCCCGCGTCCCTCACTCACTCCTCCTCCCCCTCCTCCCTCCTCCCCCTCCGCGTCAGCCACACCCACTTCGGCACACCCCTCAAACGTTTCGTGGCCCCATAAGGAGCTCCACCGAGGGCTCCAGTGGCTGCGTTCGCATGGCGGCACCGCGCCCATTTCGGCACACCCCTCACACGTTTCTTGGCCCCATAGGGAGCTTCACCGAGGGCCCCAGTGGCTGCGTTCGCATGGCGGCACCGCGCCCATTTCGGCACACCCCTCACACGTTTCTTGGCCCCATGGGGAGCTCCACCGAGGGCCCCAGTGGCTGCGTTCGCATGGCGGCACCGCGCCCATTTCGGCACACCGTGGCCCCATACACGATGGCGGCAGGGTGGCCCCATAGGGAGCTCCACCGAAGGCCCCAGTGGCTGCGTTCGCATGGCGGCCGCACCAATTTCGGCACACCCCTCACACGTTTCGTGGCCCCATAGGGAGCTCCACCGAGGGCCCCAGTGGCTGCGTTCGCATGGCGGCACCGCACCCATTTCGGCACACCCCTCACACGTTTCGTGGCCCCATAGGGAGCTCCACCGAGGGCCCCAGTGGCTGCGTTCGCATGGCGGCACCGCACCCATTTCGGCACACCCTCACACGTTTCGTGGCCCCATAGGGAGGCTGGTTTGTGGGCGTGGCTGCGTTCGCATGGCGGCACCGCACCCATTTCGGCACACCCCTCACACGTTTCGTGGCCCCATAGGGAGCTCCACCGAGGGCTCCAGTGGCTGCGTTCGCATGGCGGCACCGCGCCCATTTCGGGACACCCCTCACACGTTTCTTGGCCCCATAGGGAGCTCCACCGAGGGCCCCAGTGGCTGCGTCCGCATGGCGGCACCGCGCCCATTTCGGCACACCCCTCACACGTTTCGTGGCCCCATAGGGAGCTCCACCGAAGGCCCCAGTGGCTGCGTTCGCATGGCGGCACCGCACCAATTTCGGCACACCCCTCACACGTTTCGTGGCCCCATAGGGAGCTCCACCGAGGGCCCCAGTGGCTGCGTTCGCATGGCGGCACCGCACCCATTTCGGCACACCTCTCACACGTTTCGTGGCCCCTCAGGGAGTTCCCTCTCATTCGTTCAACCTTTTTTTGCGGTACTCGTAACTGCATATGGTTGGGTCTATCGCCAGGATAATTGTTGTTTTTGGTTGTTGTTGTTGTTGTTGTTACGGATGTGATTGTGGTGGTGGTGGTGGTGATGGTGGTGGTGGTGGTGGTGGTTGCTGTTGTTGTGGTTGAAGAACTCTCCTTTGTGAAGAATGATTATTGTTGACCCCCCCGTCCAATGCACATGTTTTTTTCGATTGACGTGCCCTTCCAAGGGCTTGCACCTTGTCTTTATTCAGGAAAGTCTTGAGGGTCAAACTGTGTTGTTGGCCCCTGGTTTACAACAGCAGCGGCTCCCGCTTGATACTTCTTAACAATTTATTGAACGTCGCGCTCTCGCTTTGGACTTCCTTGCAATTTGCCACCGGATCGCGGCTCCCGCTTAATACTTCCTTACAATGTATTGAAGAATCGCGCTCTCGCTTGGGACTTCCTCGAAACTTACCACCGAATCGCGGCTCCCGCCTGATACTTCTTTACAATTTATGAAGATGCCGCTCCTCGACACTCAGGAATCGCGCTCCCGGTTCATATTGCCTGGCGGTTCAAGCAGAATTTACGCTTCAACGACCCGCCCGCTCGACCCGCCCGTCTGGGCCTGCCCGCCCGACCAGCCCGTTAGGTACTGCAGTCGCCGCTCGCTGCCCTTCGCCCGCCTTCGATGCCCCTCGCTGCCCTTTCTGTTTCCGCGGTCGCCTTTGCTCGCTGCCATTCGTGGCCCCGTTGCTGCCCTCTCCACACTCCGCACTCCTTCCAGTTCCTCTTCTCCACTCTTCGCCGCTCCTCCTCCTGAGACCCTACTCTTGTCCACTCCATCCCAATCCACTCCACATCCCCGCGCTCCTCTCGACACGGTTGCATTTTTCAGTATCCTTCCGCCCTACTCTCCCAACATCCCGTTCTTTTTAGGGTTCCACGAAGTTCGTTTTTGACACCAGTTCGAAGCTGTACGTCCCCCCCGTGGGGGCATCCCGTGGCGCTGAAGCTTATTGTTGACCTGTGTTGGAGTGGCTGGCGCAAGCCATGGCGCAAGCTGATTCGCCACTCACAGCGCAAATCATCGTCCCCTTTCCTTATTGCCCCTCCCCCCCTTCCTCCGACCCCTTCGTCCTCATTCTCCCCCGTTATCTGCAACCCTTCGTTTTCAAGGGCTTCACCAACCACACGTGGCAGGGAATGAATATGCCCCCCAAGAGGGGGTACGATCGAATACCAAGAGGGCGGGTATCCAGGGTTTGGGATTTGCATATTAAATGACACGCGAGCAAATAAGAGCGAACAGTCTTAACCTGATTATTGTTGTTGCTGTTGCTGTTGCTGTTGCTGTTGTTGTTGTTGTTGTTGTTGTTGTTGTTGTTGTTGAACATTATTACTTCTAAAGAATAATTATTGTTGGGACCCCTGGTGCGCGGCCCCCTCGCCGCGCCTAGGCCGCAGCCATGTTTTCATCATTTTCGTGAGGAAGTCTCCGGCAAAACGGGTTGGTCCGGATCCGGTTGTTTTGTTACGGGCGGTTTTCCCTTGCAAAAAATAAGGCAAAGTGGACATTTCTTGTTCTAACATAACCAAACTTCAAGAATCCCTTGCAAAAAATAAGGTAAAGTGGACATTCGCGCGCGCAAGACGAAATCCTTCCAAAACCTTAGTGTTCGTAGCGATTTTAACATAAAAACATCAAAAAACCAATGGTTTTTCAAAAAAAAGTGTCAAAATTTCATCCCGCGCGCTCTTGCGGATTTGTAGGAAACCCAACACTTTTTAAACATTTCTGTCAAACGGGCTTTTGCGAGCAACTTTTTCACGTGCTTCGAACTTCTCCAACAACGGTTGCGCACCTGCCAGGGCCATCATCCCTGTCAAATAATACCATGCGGGACACATTCGTTTTTTCTTCGCGCGCGCACGCCGAAATCTTCAAAAACCATTGGGTTTCTTAGGAATTTTAGCACCGCGCAACATAAAATCATACGAATCGCACCGTAGGTCCTCGAAACACATCTGTACGAATTTTCATAATTTCTACCCGCGCGCGCTGTCCGAATCGTCACGGTGTCAGTGTACCCATGCGCCAGTGTAGTAGCCACGGTCGTCCGCAGGCCACGAAGTGAAGTGTCCGAACGTCATAGGGCGGGAAGCTGGGTGTGGGTGGTGGCGAAGAGTCGTTTGGAAATGTGGTAGAGCTTGAACCGGCCCCCCCACAAAGTGGGGGTATTGGCGGGCGTCGTATGAAGACCCTGGCACTGGTGAGAACGGAGTGTCCCCACGTGCTAGTAATTGTTGTTGTTGTTGTTGTTGTTGCTGCTGCTGCTGCTGCTGCTGCTGCTGCTGCTGCTTTGTTTTGGCTCACGGGCATGAGCCTTTAGCCCTCGCGCGTGTCGCGCGCAGCCGAGGGCAGCTGGCGCCGCTCGGCGGCCTCGGGCGCAGGCTGCGCCGCGGTGCCGCGGGGCCGCCCGCGGCAGTCGGCGCGTTCCTGCGGCCGTGGACGGCGCGGCCACCCCGCTGCCCCCGATGCCCGCGGAACCGCTCGCGGACGATTTTCCTGATATGGTTTAATGCCAAAAGTTGGAGGGGGGGGGCTCCTCTTCCCTTTCCTCCTCCTCCACCCCCTCCTCCTCCTCCTCCTCCTCCTCCTCCTCCTCCTCCTTCTCCTTCTCCTCCTCGTCCTCCTCCTCGTCCTCCACTTCCTCCCCCCCCAACTTATGGTGGTGGTGGTGGTGGTGGTGGTGGTGGTGGAAAACAGGCCCATCCTGGTTTCCGCGCGCTCGGCCGTGCCGCCATGCCTGGCGGTGCTGGCCCAGCGGCCTGCCTTGCGAGATGGCCTGGTGTGGCTCATCGCCGAGAGTGCGGAGGGCGCCGAGACTACGGGCATGGATGTCTCGCTGCGTGCGGGGGACATCGCGGTCGCGGCGACGGATGCCCACGTCTTTCGGCATGGCTGCTTTTTGCGGGCGCGGGCCGTGGACAGCTCCGACTGCGTCGAGATCGTGCGCGGTGTCGAGGTCCGCTATGCAAGGTTGGCCCTCACTCAGGCGCCGCTGCCCTTCTGGCCCGCTCTGACGGCGAGCCTGATCCCCTCGGTGACGACGTCCGCACCCCATGGGCCAACTTCGATGAGGCCGGCCGCTCTTTTTAAGAGGTGGAAGAAGCCGTGCAGCAGAGCAGGGAGGAGCCCATCACCACCAGCGGTGCAGGAACCGCCTGGTTCATTGAATTTTGCTCGCCACCGAGCGCTACGGAGGTGACCCGCGGCGGTGGTGGCAGGAGTTTTTGCGCGCAGCAACACTATGAGCAGTCCAGGTAGTGCTTTTTCGTGAGGTGACCACTGTCACCGAGAGTTTCAAGCTGTTCGGTGAGCACGATCAGCTCAACTTCGGCGCGTCGGCGGGCGTCGGGGAGATCGCCCGACGGATGCAGGGGGTGATCGAGGCGCGCTTTGCTGGCAGCGGCGCCCCGTCATGGCGGATGGCTGCTGTCCACGAGGGCGAGGCCGACCGCGGCGACGCCATTGCCCTTGCCCTGCGGGAGCGGGACATCAACAAGCCGAAGGATCATGATGAGATCGAAACCACGCGCGCGCTAGTTGCGGCCCGCAGATGGCGCGAGCGGAGGTGGCGGCTCGACGGGCGCTGATGGCGCCGAGGGGCCGTCCAGGCAGGGGTGGCGGGGCAGGTCGGGGCGGGCGGCGCGGCAAGGGCCCC